TTGTTTTAGAATCTATATGAGAAAGCTTCAACCTGGTATTGCTCCCCCTAGCTATATCAAGATTGACCGAATATAATGCAAATGTGTAGGAATGTATTCATACGCCATAAGGAGAGAGAAACTAGTGAAGAAACTTCAGTCTCTTGGGTGATAGGCCAAGGAACAACAATTGAAGCTAGCGAACTAGCTCTCTTGGCCGCTCAACCAAGGGTTGCTAAGGCTACTCTCTTGGAACTTAATCCAGTCAGAAAAATAACAACCAAATCAAAATGTTAAATCAAAGCTTGAGGCTTGCCCTAAATTGCCCTAGGTGGGTGACTCAAGTGACCAAGAAATCCAACTGCTCAAAGCCTCTAGCAAAAATGGGGTTTCTCTCCACCTAGGTCAATTTGGCATGGTAATGAAAAATGAAGAACACAACTCAAGAATTCTAAAAATACCTCAAACTTTGCATTAAACACAAACCCACACACATAGCATTCAATCCGTACAATCTATCACATATATAAAGTTAGGGTTGACAATACCCAAGTGAAAAAGATTACTACTCCATAGCTAAACTAGAGATTACAACAAAGAGAAGAGGAAGAACTACGGTGTGGTGTTTGACTTCCTTCCTTGTTGTAGAAATCACCCTTGGAAGATGAAAATCCCCAATCCTCAAGTTTGGAGCAAACCCTAGACCTTTTATTCTCTCTTGGTTCGTCAGTTTCTCTCTCTAAAATCTTAAGAAGAAGAAGACCATCTCTCACTAGGCTCTCCCCTTCAAATTTCAGCTCCATCCTCCTTTTATATCCTAGTCGTGCGGACATCACGGTCGTGATCTTTGAGCTCGGACCGCGATAACGGACAAAAGTGCACTGTTTCATTTAAGGTATCCATGGTCGAGGTTGGATTATCATGGCCTGGTGACCGTGATATCTTTTAGGTCCGCAAGGCGTAAAAACTCTACTGGTTTCCTTGAACATCACGGTCTGGTCTCCATCTTCACGGTCGGATGACCGTGATAATGTTGCTCGAACTGTGATCTTCCCCTTTTTGCTCCTATAGATCCGCTTTCGCCCTCTTTCGTTCAACTTTCGCTCCCAAGGCCAATATCACCTGCTAGAACCTGAAACATGCTAAAAACATGCAAAACCTAGCGTAAAATCGAAGAACCTCAAGCTATGTAAACGCCTCAAACACTACAAGAACATGGGGGTGAAAACATGTGAAATTAGACCCGAATCACTAATCGGCAGCCATAATAGACGAACTCCTATAGGAGCGTTGATAATAGTAAGAATAACTGTTATAAGAGTTGGTCCAAATTGGTAGTTGGATCTTGGTCACTTCTCGGATATCAAATGCTAACTATTATCCAAAATAACATCCACTAATGCACCTTACCTTCATGAAGAGCAATGAGAAAGTAATGCTTCATCAAATTTGAATTGGGTGAAGAAAACCAAGCAACTCATAAAATAATCCAAAGAAAGATATTATGTTTCTCCGAGACAACACACTTGAACCCAATCAAACCTTCAAGATAACTCATCCAAAATGTGATTCTTTCGAGATTTAATTTTATTCCATGAGAGTTAAGGATTAATATTATGAATTAGCAGGCTAGACATGAAACTCCTCCTTGGGCATAAAAAGGTGGTATGACCGTCGCTTTAGACCAACTTTAGTGGTGGGCTGGAATTTCAAAAAATTGGACCAGACCCACTTTAGTAAGGTTCCAAAAGACCAAAAGTTCACATTCATCCAAAAATTGGGTCCAAATTTGGCCCAGAAAAGGACAAAAAGTTCCAAAAGATAGTGTGGTCACATGGGGAAAAGCATACGGGCCCACCTGCCAAAAAGAGCTTTAATAATAATAATAATAAAGAAACAACTTAACCTTTTAGTACTCACAATCTCCTCCAACGGCTCTTTCGGTCCAAACAAGAGATTTTCATTAATTAAGTCATATTTACAAATAATTTTTTTTGGTCGGAATTCAAAAAAAAATTGTCGAAATGTTCGTCTTAATTAATTATTAGTACCTATATAAAATTAATAAACAAATTTTGTAATTAGAATGATGAAATATATAAAAAACTGGATTATGAGTTAAAGCGCAAATCTGGAAATTTGGACTTTTGGAACACACTACTTATGCCAAAATATCATTTGATGGGCTAGAATTTAAATTATAGCCTCAAATTTTGGACTTTTGGATCTAATCACTAAAGATGGTCTTAGGCAAGAAAATGGTGTCAGAGGCGCCAAATTCTAGAACTTTAGAAGGAACCTCAAAAGTTAGTTCATAACTAATTCCATAGTCTTTAGGGTACCTAGGCAGAAGACAAACCACATGCTTCTCGGCTATGCACATCCCTCTCTTGCCTCTCAAAAGGCATCAAATCCTTATTCTTTAGAAAGAAAGCATAACAGTGTGAAGATTGAGAAGAAAAAAACCATATTTGGTGAACACTAAAAAATGGCAGATAATTTAGCTATCAACGGCTCCATTTTCGCTTCTTACCAACTAAATCATCAAAAAAAAGTAAGGATTCCGACCAAGCCAACTCTTCTAAGGAGTCTCCAATAGCTCCTAACCACCAACAAAAGTCCAATTCATCCATGAATACAAAAGAAGTGCTCTTTTCTCAAGGAAGAAGAAGATAGAGGAAGATTCCTTACCCCATTGGGTTAAAGATTATCCCCTCTATAAAAGAATACATCCTCCTCCTTCAAATACTACAAAAAATTTCATGTCAATGGCGGCTTAGTAGACAAAATTTGGCGGCCAGGGTTTCATTTTTTAGCCTCTCATGAAAATCTAATTATGAACTTCTAACAGCTGTACACGAGTTTTTAAGGGTTCTAAGAGGAGAAGTTTTTTTTTTAACGAAGGAGGCTGAAAGCCAAGAAACAAACACTCAGATACAAACTCACCAGACTCAGACCACAACCCGGCCAGGTCTAGGGGATCAAGGGCTACCAAGACAGAAGAATAATCTTAAGGGGAAGACAAACTAGTAAAAGCTTGGAAGCCAGGCTATCCCGTATTAACCATCCTTGGAAAACTAACACCAATCATATCTTCCAAAAGTATCTTATCAAGACCGGTTGGAGGATCTTCTAGTTCATACATACCAAAGGGATAGACGAGACTGTGCTTTCGAGAGCCAGTCCGCGACTCTATTCCCTTCCCGATATGTGTGCACTAGTCGAACCATCCAACCGAGCGCCATCATTCTCCGAATCGCAGATAGGAGGGTCGAATGAGGATGAACCGAGTCATCTCTGTTGTTAATTAAGTCCACTGCCAATTGGGAGTCTGTCTCAACAATCAGGAGTTGAATTCCCTGTTTCGAAGCAAAGTTAAGCTCGTGAAAGATGCCCCATAACTCTGCTAATAGAGCTGTTCCATATCCAATCTTACTGCAGAAACCAGCCAGCCAAACCCCATCACAGTCTCGGAGACAACCTCCTGCCGTAGCAGTCCCTGTACTCCCTTGCATCGCGTCATCTGTGTTGATTAAAAATAATTGAAAAGTATTGAGTTTATGGAGACAAAAATAACTGAAAAGTACTCCCATACACCTTTTTTGTGAAGGTCATTATTGAGATACCTAATTGTGTGCGCTTCGTGAAAAATATTAATGAAAATAATTGAAAAGTATTGTTTAAAAATAATTGAAAAGTATTGAGTTTATGGAGACAAAATAAAGAAGGGTTAGTAGTGAATACATGAAATAAGGAGTGTTAATATTGGTAAGTAGTAATGGAAAAAATGAGTCACTTGGGAGGTAGTTATTTGCAAATGACTTGTTTGCGTCATTTGCAATGATTTATTTTATTTTTGGTTTGAAATGTGTCATTTGGTGTCAAATTATAGTAAATATACCATTCAAACAATAATCAATCATTTGCTTATAAGGGTGATATAGATTTAGTTTTAATATCAGCTGCTTTCGAAAGGATTTGAACCTGGCATCACTAATCAGTTATTTGCTATTGATGGTGTACATCTGATGTGATTCATAAAAAATAAGATCAATGGGTACTTGAGGATCGTTATGGTTGATGGATAGATGTATAACTGAAAAGTCAAGACACATTGCCTTGGCTGACTGCACCATTGCATCCAAGTCCAAACCTGCCAAGTAGGGGTGGGCAACGGGAAACGGGTATTTGGGTATACCCGTACCCGTCCCGTTTTTTAAGGGTTACGGGTACTCATATTACCCGTAATGTTTTAAACGGATGGGATGTGGGATTGTACAGTCCTAATATGGGTACCCGCGGATTACCCGCAAATACCCGTTTGGGTAATATGGATACCCGTTGTACCCATTCAAATTACAAAGACATATAATTCAGCCCAGACATGAAGAACTTCAGCTGAAACTGTACCAGGCTTTCATATTCTCAATCCCAATTCTGTTCACCATCATTCTGGTTCTCTTGTTCTATCTTTTCTACCTCAAGAGAAGAGCTTCAACACTTTCATCCTCCCTTCCAACCACCAATTCTTCCAATCAAGCTGCTGCTGGTTCCCATTTGTCTGCTGTAAGAACTAAGAACCACTCTCTTTTACTAGCTACCTAATTCTTCCTTGATTTTTTTATTAACCTATTTGTCTGTTTGTAGGTTTGTCAGGTTGGCCTGAAAGAAAAGCTGAGTGAGAAGCTCCAAGTTGTATTGTTTGATGAAGAGTTGAGATCAAAGGAATCACAGTAAGTTTTGTTTTCTTACCTCTGGTAATAATATCCTGGAAAGGGTCCTGGAAATTTGCCTGTAAGCTAATGTTACATCATCATTTTCTTTTCTTTCCTAATAATGCATGAAAGTGCCAAGTAACTAACTAATTATGAAGTAACAGCTGATACTTGTCTGTGTCATGCATCATCAACCTAACTCTGAGTTGTAGGAATTGGTGTAAGTTGCTACTTGTGCAGCCATTTTGTGTTTTGAAATGAATGCTTTGGATGTAATTGACTAATTGTCTTTAGGTAAAATGTCATTTAAACTTTGGGTATTTATGGGTAGTATGGGTACCCGTTATCCGTCCCGTACGGGTAATGGGTACCCGTTTCCCATATAGATTTGGGATATGGGATGGGCTTTGGTCTCCAAATGGGACTGGGTACCCGTTTAAAACGGGACAGGTATCCCGTCCCGTTGCCCACCCCTACTGCCAAGCTCCTCATAAACATTTCAAAGTCTACTCAAACCAGATTGGCATATCCATAAAGAAAGTTGCTCAACAACAACACATTCAGAATTGGTAAGGGGGCTTACAAAACAGGCGTTGTCTATGAACACACATCCAAACATTCCACCGTTTAGAGGTGCAGCAAGAAAACACAAGCTGTAAACAACCTTAAGGAATAAGGATCAGTGCTCAGTATGAAAGAATTCACATAGAGCACCCCCTCGCATCAAGTTCTTGTTCCGGACTTCCAAACAGTGTCTTGTTAGTTGTAACAGCACCTTAATCAGAATCGTCATAAACTCCTCCATCATCAGATACCTCATCAAAAGTTCTCATATCCAGTTGATAACGAAGAATACCTCCGATCCCACCAAACCCTCTACAAAATTGAGACCCCTCTTGAGATTTGTTCGTCACGAATTCCAATGTGCAACCAAACTTCTTGTAATCATTAGCAAACCACTCCAGCAACGGGATCTTCTCCTGAACCTCAAGCTCAGCCGAGGTAGAAGGGTCCCTGAAGTTACTCTGATCACCCTCCTGCTCCTTGTTCAAGTGCTTTATCACAATTTCCCCATTAACACCGTTTTTCAGCACATATCGATTGATATCCAAATTTTCCCACACAATGAGCGTCTCCACCGCACCCATTTCCAAAGCCTTTAACGTGTCATCAACCCCAAACACATACTTTCCAGTGTCTTGACTGATTTCCTCGAAATATTTCCCGATCAGTTTCTTTTCTTGTATGAACTTCACGTTTGATAGGATCTCTGCTGACAGCTCAATAGCCTGGTTGAATCCATTCTCACCACCATAGGAAACATCCACAATATTCAATATCTTGGCCTGCAAGCGCTGGTCAAACATATCAGATTGACTAAGCTCCGTCTTGAAATCTGCTGAACCAGCCAGTATCAGCCCAGAAACATTGGGCTGACTGGTGGCAGGATTGATGAAGAACTGAGTGGCAAGCTCAGCAGTCTTCCGAACATAGTTATGCCGTTTCTCCATCCGAAGACGAGCAAAACGAAGAGCTGACTGCCCACCTCTTCCATGCTTCTTGGGCAAGTCAACAGTAAATTTATGCAAGATCTCTCGCGTGTTTCCACTCAATGTTCCGAACAGAGTACCATTTCCATCCATGACTATGAAACCAAATTTGTCATCAGACTCCAAGAGTTCATTCAGAGCTTCTGTATGAAACTTGTTGTCACAAAGGTACAAAGATGCATTAATGGGTTTGAATGGCTCAAAATCGATGGTCACCTTCTTTTCCTTTCCGTCATCTGTGACAACAGTCCCAGTGTATAGAACTAGACCATTGGGTGGCACCTTGTTGTAAAGTTTCAGCCTTTGTTGAGCTGACGTGATGGCTGCCAAAACCGATTGACGATTGACCCTACTTTTGATGTTTGAAGCTGTTCCATACTCATCTCCCAACATCTTAGTAACACGAGAAATCTGATCACGAGGAGGCATTATAAGGGATATCATACTTGTACCATTTCCCCTTGCAGACTCCAGCGCTTTGATTAACTTTTTGATTTTCCATATCTCGATGTTCTTATCCGACTCTTGATCTGCCATGTACTTTAGAACTTATAGCAAAATAAACACCTGCAGCCAAGCATTCTAGAAACATTATTGATATAAGTATGAACAAAGCCATACAAGGCTTCTCAGCACGAATCTCATGGTTTAGACATTGTTAAGTGAACGGGGGACCAAAGTAAACACACTAAATGAGCTAATGGCCGCATTTCTACCATTCAGTGACATTGGGGAAAGAACTTGCATTTGAGTGACTATTGGAACTGTGGAAACCTCATTGTCTCTATACGTTACAGAGCCCATGGTAAAAAATTTACTCGTTTTGAGTTGTAATGTTAGATACCTCTAGAATAGTGAAATACAGACAACAATGCACGCAGCCAGGAAACTGTGTATCAGATTGGTAAATAGATGCGTAATTCGGACAGCAACGAACCCATTGTCCAGAATCAGAACTGAGATCTGATTACCAAACTATCCAAGTCAATATGATGACAAGGGAATGGTTCGAGAAGTAGAGCCTGGAACCCTACCTGGGTCAAGAGTGCTGCCTAGTATTACCGCTAGTCAAACAGCAGCGGACACTCGGAAATTGGCAGAGGAGGCGGAGGTCGGGCAACTGGCGGCGGTGCAGTGACCTCCGGGCAGTTCGGCGGAGGACCAAAAAGGAATTCGGATTTCAGATGATGAGAGTGATAGACAGCCAGAGAGAGAGATAGGAAGGAAATGAGCGTGTCAGCGTGAGACTGAGAGGTGGTTTGGTAAGAATTTTGGGGATTTTCTGCTTTGCGTTTCTCCTTCGTTTCAGAAACGCCGAAACGGGCCAGGTACCGGCTAGCCAGTCAGGACTATTTTCCCGCAAAATAATAAAGTATTTTTGAATTCATAACGGTATGTAATTAAGGAGCCCAACTTGGAGTGAATTTATGAAGTTAACGTTTGTAGAAGATGTCAATCGGGCGGGTTCGGCAGAGTTCAATCGGGTTGCGGGTTGGATTTTGGATTCATCGAGATGTAGATTTGTCAGGTTTAATCAGGTTCGGGTTCAAGCAGGTTGCGGGTTCATCGGATTTCGGGTTGGTGGGTTGGATTGCGGGTTGTTCGGGTCAACGTGTCGAGTTACTTAATTCTTACTCACTACCAACTTACACATTTGTTACACTAATTTAAAATATTTTTCACAAATTTTAACCAATTTCTTTCTACCTCTTATATATACTTAAAAAAGCAAAAAAAAAATCAAAATGTTGAATCAATTTGTATGATTTGCAAACTTGTTATGTAATTAATCATAATTGGCAAAGTAGGCTAGCTAATAGTAATAATGATATCAACATTTGCAACCATTAGACACTATTAACAAACCATACATTCAGAAAACAAAACACTACTCTAAAAACAAAGAAGAAAAACACTTTTTCCTATCTCAACATTTTTGGGTGGTAATATAGATTAAATCAAACGAAAATTGGGTAGCAATATAGATCAATCCAAACGAAAATTGGGCGGCCTTTTGGAGCAGGAAGGAAGAAGTTGGGTGGCAATATATATCAAGCAAAAAGAAAATTCGGCGACATTTTGCAACGGGAAGGAAAATTGAGTAACAAAAAAAAATATGAATTATGTATATAATAAATTACAGACTTATTTCTCTTATGTGTGACGTATAAATTTTTTGTTAAAAAATACATGAATTAAGGTTCATGGCAAAATTTGCAAGCGTTGTCAATCAATAATCCTAATATTCCATATGCAAAATCTAGAAAATGCATTAATGTTATAAACAACCGTTTATTAGAGATGGGAATCGTGCTTAATAATAAATGAATTGAAACGTTGGTGAGTCGAATTGGGGGAAATTTTTCATCGTAAGATTTTCATTTTGGTAGGGACAAATTATAAAAGGAAAGCAAAAGGGTTATAGGTATAATATGCCCCTCTACTATGACGTTTTATCAAACATGTCCTTCTACTATTTTTTTATATCAAACATGCCCCTGTACTTTGTTAAAATGATCAAACATGCCCTTTTGTTTAAATTTTCATCCAAAAACCGTTAACCAATGTCGAACTTTGGTTTGGGCGGCACAAATGTCTAAAATATCCCTAATAATTTCACTTAAGAATTTTTTTGTTCTTTTGTATAGCCAAATAATTCAAATAATTTCACTTTGAAGAGACCCAGAGAAATAAAATGGGAGACAAAACTTACATTTTCGCTCCCATTTGCCGATGTCGGGTCGTCTAAATCTCGGTTCAACCATGATTGACAATTTTTTCAATGAAAATTTTAACAGAAGGGCATGTTTGATAATTTTTTCAAAGTACAGGGGCACGTTTGATGTAAAAAATAATAGAGGGGCATGTTTGATAAAACGTCATAGTAGAGGGGCATATTATACCTATAACCCAAAGCAAAACGAGAAGAACGAAAAGTGAGGAGGGAAACATTGGGGGTTAAAGACACATTGGTCACTGAGATTACTAAATCGGGACATCTTTAATCACTAGAAAAGAATTAATATCAATTTTTAGTCGCTCGAATTACTGAAACAGGCACATTTAGTCACTCTCCGTTAGTCTCCGTCAAAGTCCGTTAAGTGTTGATGTGGCAAACAGAATTGCCTAATCAGCCGGATATAACCCAACAAAAATAAAACCCGACCAGCCACGTCATTAAAACCAACCCAACCCTTCTTCCTCCTTCCTCCCACCTCCTCCTTTCCCCAAAACCACCGCCACCGCCGCTCTCCTCCTTCCTCCCACCTCCTCCCGCAAACCTGAAGTCGGTGAGGTTTCTGGAATTGGGGTCGTAGAGGGGTAAAGGGGAGTGGTAAATGGCGCGGCCGAAGCTGATGTTGAGATCGGAGCTGAGAAGGTTGCGGGTGAGCTGGATTGAGTTCTCGGCGGTTAAGGCTTGCTCGTATGTGATGTTCTGGTTGCTGCTGGTGAAGGTTGTGAAGTTGAAGGATAAGGCGGTGGTGTGTGAGGGGATGGTGGTGGTGGAGATTAGGAGGAGGGGGAGGAGGATGAGGAGAAGGCCGGAAATCATGGTTGCGGCGGCGGCGGTAAGAGGACGGAGGGAGGCGAGGAAGAAAGAGCTAGCATTGGAATTTGGTAGAGAGGTGGAAAGAGTTGGGTCGGGTGGGTGCATGGGTTGGTTGGACATATGAAATGGCGGGTTTAACGACATGGCGGGTCGGGTTTGACCATTTCCGACCCAAAACGGTGCTGACTAGGCGCCTCTGTTTGCCACATCAACACTTAACGTATTTCATTAACGGAGTTGGACGGAAATTAACGGAGAGTGACTAAATGTGACCTGTTTCAGTCATTCGAGTGACTAAAATTGATATTAATTTTTTCTAGTGACTAAACATGTCCCGATTTAGTAATCTCAGTGACCAAATGTGTCTTTAACCCGAAACATTGGGGAAGTAAGAAGTTGGGATGAAAATATCAAAATGAGGGGGGAAGTTTCCTACCTAAATGAAAATGTGGTGGGAGAATTAGCAAATGAGATTAAGTTTCCCACCTAAATGTAAAATAGTATGCATTTTATAGAGGAATATATGTTCTCAAATCTACGGGAGCGGATCAGGTCAGTAATCTTATGGTGAGTAACCATGAGTAACCCGTCCACATCAAGTCATCAACATGACATCAACATCACTCTCTCTCATGGAAAGCCTTCTATATTTTCCCCTTTAATTTTTAACAGACGATTTCTCTCTCGTTTTAAGACGAAATTTAAATTTTTTGCACAGATAAATCAGATTAATTGTGCTTTTTAAAATGATATCTACTTTGATATATTTTTATAACAAAAAAAAATTGAGTCCTTTTTTTACCAGTCAATACGATATGGTATGCACCTATTTAATATCATATGGTAAGAAAGCGTACCATGATGGTATGAACATATCAATATGGTAGGAAGGTTGAATACATGATAGTAGGAGTATAATAACTGTCATTTACGACTTTCAACATTGTTTAGCACAAGTTACCACCCACATACCATAGTGGTAAAGTATGGTAATTTTTTGTCCTGTATTTTTTCACCCAGAAATTTGTAGATCCAATAGATCATGATGAACTCGTTCCTTCTAAGCAAATGTTTTCAAAAACGACTTAAAAATGAAGAAGTTACCATATGGTATATAGTTGGTAACGGGAGGTTTGAAAAAAAGTTTCTCGAAATATATTGAAAATTGATCTCATTTTGGAGAGCACAACGAACTCGTTCCATCTGTGCAAAAAAAATTGAATTCCGAGTTAGAACGAAAAATATAAGAGCCGATTAAGAAAACTAGGGAAAATAAAATGTTTTTAATTCACAACCCTTAGATCTGAATTTTATGGGCCCACTTAGATCTGAAGGTCCAAATTTAGTTACTCATAGGTCAGTATCTCAAGCCAAATCTACTATATCAAATTAGTCAAGCCCTAAAGACTATAGTAAGGTTTGCTATAGACAATATTTTAGTTACTAAATGTTGGAATCCTAAATCATCATATGTAAACATTTTGATAATCAAATTGATAATTAATTAAACTCCTAAACCATCATATGTAAACATTGTGATATGTTTTCTCTCTTCTTTCTCTTACAAAAAAAATTGAAAACACAAAATTTCCCCTTCTTTTTTCTTTCCATAAATCAAAAAACCAAAATTTCCCACATCTTGCTCTTTCTATAAATTAAAAGAACCAAAACTCTCCCTTCTTTCTTTCCCAAAACTTTTTTTTTTTACGAAACCTGATTTCATTACGTAATAGGAAAGTTATACAGAGTTTGAACCGAAGTTCTGGAAGAAAGAAGTCTGGCCTAAGTGAAAAAGATAATAAAAAAGATTACATGACACCCACCCAATCAACACAAACAAGCCCACGTACAGAAACAAGCAAATCCCACAACACCGCCTCAGCCAACCCACACCATCACAAACAAAACCGAAAACATCTCACCACCACCAAAGCAGAACAGAATGACCCACACAACCAGTTGCCGCCGCCGCTGAGACCACTACACCACCAACATCCAAAGACAACCCAGGGAACCAAGATCACCAGAAACACACTTCATCCTTACATCCAAGCCAAATGACAGTAGAACCACATGCAATAAGCCAAATCCACCGAATCACTGCGACATTATGAGCGAAGCAAGGAGGAAAGCTCTAAAAGTCAAGAAGAAGGATGTAGATTGCCAAAGCAATCCCCTCTGAACATCGAAACCGACTTCAAGATCTGAGCATAGATCTGAAGTGTGGAAGAGTAACCATCTCTGAAGAGAGGTTAATGGAAAACTCCACAAGGGAAAGCAAAAAAGCTGGAACTAGAGAAATCCACAGAGAGATTGTCAAAAGAAGGAGCAGAAGGGAAATGACGAGAAAGAAAAGAGGGTGGGTTGCCGCTGGTCACCCATAAGTGAAGCTGGCGACTCCCCAGGTGGAAAACTGTAGAGAGAGTTGAGTTCCTTCTTTCCCCAAAACTTGAAACACCAAATTTCTCTATTCTTTTTTCTCCAAAAAGTTGAAAACACAAAAAAATTCCGCTTCTTTCTCTTCCTATAAACCAAAGCATAAAAACTCCCTTTTTTTCTTTTCCCAAAAATTTAATCACCAAAATTTTCTCTCCTTTTTATTCTCAAAAATTTGAAAACACACAATTTCCCACTTCTTCCTCTTTCCATAAATCAAAAGAACCTAATCTATCCTTTCTTTCTTTTATTAAAAATACATAATTTCAACTCAATTTCATTTTCAAACTTTTCTTTATAAAATGAAAAAATAGTTTTACTTAGCCTTACAACAAACAAACTTCATTTTGAAAGACTATATAATATATAATATAGTAATTATTCAGGTCAATCGGGTGGGTTACGGGTTAGTCAGGATCGGGCCAATTGGGTTCGAGTCAATTGGCTTACGGGTTTAATCGGGTTGCGGATCAATCGGTTCGTGTTAATTGGGTTGTGGGTTAGTCGGGTTACGGGTTAATCCGGTCACAAGTCAATCGGGTTGTTGGTCGGACGAGTTGCGGGTTATTGACTTTTAGTCAATTTGAGTTGCGGGTCGGGTTAGTTAAGCGAGTTAATCAAGTCGGGATCTATTTTGATACCTCTAAACGTTTGTCTCGATTTAGTTCAAGCAGTGATATTTGTCAAACACCTAATTACTATACAAATACCACATCCTACATCACTTGTTATTTGTTATGGTATTTATCAGAAATACGATATTTTGATGAATTATACTAGTGGTATTGTTGATATTATATTTGCACATCCTACATCTTTCTCGTTTGGACAGCGTGCGTGCTTGGTCAAATGTTACGATATTAATATTTACAGATTTTTATACGTCTTTCAATGCTCAATAGATGGATCATAATCAAATATGGAACCCTAGTTTTGAGTGGGGTTGGAGAGATCCATATATAAGTGGTGAGAGCTAATGGCTTTTTATTTTCTATAGTTTTCTTAATCGACTCTTATCTTTCAGCAATTCAGGCAAAAATGCATGATCAATGGTTGTGAAAGCGTATCACAAGTCATACAAAAAAAGTTAGTGGTAGAATACTTTGTATTAAAATTGTGGTTCAACTGTTTTATACAAGTAAAATCGTTTATCGCTGAGAGAGTTCGATATCATGTATGTCTAATTGAACTATAAAGTTTCTGAAACATTATTATGGTTTGTAAACAATTGAGAGGGGACAAGGTATTTGCTTTCGGTTTGTCGTAGGGGTGGGCAACAGATTCGGTGAACCTGAACCGAACCAAAACCAAATTAAACCGAATCGAAACTGAAATAATGTTATTCGGTTCGGAATTCGGAAGGGAAATATGGATATTTGAAAAATCATGGTTCTTTCAACCGAACCGAAAATTTCGAATTTCTGACCAAAAACCCAAATTGCTATAATTGCAAGCTTCAAATGGTGGATTTTTCTGTTTGTAGTTGTTTGAAGACTTAAATATTTGAATCATGTTAGTGTTTATGAATTATGTGTTGAAATGTTTGATTTTATCATTGATGTTGCATATAATTGCATATTTATTGTTTACTTTAGGAGTGAAAATAATTTTAAAAGGTAAAAATACAAGTAGCCTCACAAATTCGATTTTGTATGAAATTCCGAACCGAACCAAATTATAATTCAGTTTGGACCGATCAAACCGAATAATAATTCAATTCGAACTCGGTTTGAGTTTTGATGAAATTCGGGGACCCAATATTCATAATTTTGGTTCGATCAAAATCGAGCCGACCGAATGCCTACCCTAGTTTGTCGGGCTGTTGAAACTTGGTTTGACCGTTGAAAAAATTCGACATACTATTTCTATTTTTGTCATACTATGTATTTGAAGAAAAAAAAATCATCATTTCGGATTTTACTTCACTTCATCTATTAAAATTTAAAAGGTAAACAATTCTTTTTATAGTTTACCAACCAAACATTCAGTCCGACTTTGAGCTTCAAAAAAACGACGTAAGGCAAAAAGCCGCTTCGCAAAGATAAATCTAACCCAATATATATAGTTGGCTTTTCTGAACGCTTCTTTCAGAAAAATGTAAACAAACACATAGGGGCAATAGGTCTTCTCCACTGCTGCTTCTTTAGCCACATCTTCAGTACTCAGTAGTGTTTCTTCCAAGTCTTTCTCCAAAACTAGGACTTAGTTCATAGCTTTTTGCACCAGCTACTGATAAAACAAAAATGCAGCCCGAAAAATTCATTTTCTCTTTTTAACTTCAACCTGCTTCGTCAAATGGAGGTGACATCATCATCACTTCCTTCATGGTCGCTGCTAGTATTGCCCCCACTTCCACTCGCACTATCACTAGCACTGCTTCCACTCTCACTGCTGCTTCCCGAACTAGACGACTGATTATCATTATCACCATCGGTGGCATTATTCACCTGAGCTTTAAGCGCTTCTGCCGCGTTAATGCGCCCTTTGTGTTCTTCATCACCACTGTCATCCACGTCAGCAATCTCATCATCCGAGTAATTCTGATGATGCTGCAGAGGAGCATTGTTGTCAGCAGGACCCACATCAATGTCTTTGTCTCCTGTTGTCATACCATCATCATCGTAAGGGGAACTGGAACCAAATATGTCGTCTATATCTATATCGCAGTGATCTTTGGCTTCGTCATCATTCTTGGGGCTAGATTGATCAGCAAAATTTGGTGGTTCAGTTTGGTTATCTTCGATCCCTTTGCCAGTAAATCTTGAAGCTGTAACAGGAAAGAGCATGGAAAAAAAGAGGATGAGTAATGGAAGCTTCAAAGAAAGATTTAGCAGAAGCAGAGAGAAATTTCTGAATATAATGTTCAACACATATTTTTGTAGTCTACAAAATTACGAGAAACTGAAGAAACAAAGCTAATTGGGTATGAAACATAAACATGTGCATCAAAGCATAAAGTACCTGGAACAGGTGGCTTCTCAAAATCAATTCGTTCCACCTCAACCTTCATACATAATGACAATAAATTCTAAGTAAGAAACCGAAGGGAAGTAAAATATTCCAAGACCAAACTGTTATGTTAATATCACCAACTTTGCCAATTGCAAGCTCATGTACTGGAATGACACATATCATTGAGTATGAAACACAAGGATTCATATCACTTTTGCGTATTGAGTGTTCTTTTTTGTCATGAGAACTAGAAGAGAAAATAAAATCACAAGGCTGCAGCAAACTAGAGGTTGAGCAGGAGCCAAAAGCATATATACCAGAGATATCGTTTGTTTTTTTCAACAATTCATCCTAGTAGTCTTACATTTTGCTTTGTCCACTCAATTAGATGAAAGAATGCAATACATAAATGGAGGGTGTGAAAAGGGAAAACAGTCATAAACTAATGTGAATGTGCAAACATTTTAGCACTTTACCTTGTTCTTAAAGAGGTGCAAAGAGGAAGAGGGCAAAGATGATGTGCAAAAATCACTATTTATCTTGAGGTGAATACCATTTTCTTTCTTCTCTCTTTTCCTTTTTATTCTTGTTTCAGTGAGTGTAGGAATCATAATCTTTTTCATCTTTAACAATATGCAAACTTAACAACTTTGACTTCCCTATTCACCCTCCTCAAATAAACACCTCCTCAACCACCCTCATCTAGTCATCTTCCAGAAGAGGAGGGTTGAACTGTTTAAACAAACGTGAAGTGCAACAAATCTAAGCATGGCCATTAGTTCATTCTCGGCATGAGACTTGGAAATGGGGGATTAAAAACAATCCGAAGAAAGGAGATGAGAAAAGTTGTTAAACATTTTAGGTCATTAAAACATCATATTTAGAAAGGCTGGGAAATGTTAGACAGGAAAAGAAGAAACTCGACTCCAAAGTGGAGCAGACAAGGTTGAAGGACCATCTAAACTTCCTTAATCCTTCAACGATTCAAGTTGAGCTGCATATTCAGAAACAACAGCCTCAAAGTTCAAACTCCAATCCAACCAAACAGCCATGCACTTAACATTTGAACATTTCTGCTATTCCTACATTGTTTTGAATCATTTTAACCCCATAACCAGTTGATAACACCAACTCAGTAGTTGGTCTTCCACAAACTTGCAGCCCAACTAGCTGATGCAGTGAAAGCTGCAATTGCTTGCAAACAAATCGCTGAATAGCATATGGCCAATGATCAAAGCAGAAACCTAAAGAAAAATGCAGACTAGAAGAATCAAAAGGGCAATCCTAGAGTGACAAAGGGACAAAAGTTTCAACAATCCTAATGAAAGCAGGCATGGTCCTGGTCATCCGTAGTTCAAAAGGATGTGTAGCAGGAGATTCATGGACTAGAAGCTACTAGGCTTTACATAAACACGCAGCATAATCCTATACGAAATTCAATGCACTACCATCCTTCAACAGATTCTAGAATCAGAATTAACAATTGAATCCTCTTCTCAAAACTGCAAGGCAAAGATAAAATTGGAAGACAGGAAATACGACTCACAGGAAAGGAAGGCACTGTCGGTTTGGCAATTTGGGGAGGTTTGATACCCTTCCCAATAAGAGGAGACAATCGAGGGTCCCCAGATGACCCAGCAGCAGCAATACACTCCCCGGGCTGCCTAATGCGGACCTTGACAGACCTATGAAGCCTCTCCAGGCGAAATGTGTGGCCGTCAAAGAACAACACAGCATCGTTATCTTTGTAATCCTCGCTGCTACCTTCAAACGGAACTTTGGATTTCCCTGGTTGGTTGTTCTGAAACTCCACAGAGACCCTATTCCCCTTGTTCTTGTGCAAAGCACCAGGCTTTGACTTATCAATGGAGGCAGGCCGGAATTCATCTAAAAAGAACACGCCCTTATTAACCTATCCATAATGAATGAAACAACAGAAAGTAGTTGGAACTTGGAAGGTTCAGAAGAGTGATTGGGAATTCGGGGAATCGTACATCGCAAAGTACAGTACTTGTTGGAAGCGTCTTCTTTGAATGAAGATCCGAGGGAAAGATCGTACCAGCGATCCGGCTGGGGTGCGGTCTTGGGCTCTTCCTTGAAGTTGTTCGCCATGGTAATCAATTAAGAGCCAAAGACTGAGCCGTCTTATCAAATTAACGGTCCGACATGGGATAGAGCCGAACGTGCTTCGCCGATCGGAACTTGAGTGGCTTCAGAATTGGGGATGATGCAGACGGAGCCCTGTCATGGCGTGCGAATTCTCGCCGACACTTCTTTCCCGGTGCTGGGAAGACGGAAGGTTATATGGTAGAGGGCAGAGGCTGCGGTGAAAGACAGAGTTGGGGTACAAATCTGGTGCGGCGTTGGGCAGCACAATTTAATAGACAGCTATGGCTAGACTAATGGAGAATTAAGGCCAAAGATAGGATATATAACCTTACTGAATTGACATTAATTTAAATTTAAATTTTATCGCTCTAAAATGTACTAAATTGATATTATTACCCGAATTCCAATTTCAATCTAAACCATAAATAAAATATCTCTTTTGCCTTGCCCAGTCGTCGTCGAGGTCCTCCGTTCTCTGACTACTGCTGCCATTGTCGGATTCTTATCTCCGGCTCGTCTTGGAGAAAGACAACTAGGACCTGCTAAAGTTGTTTGGGGCCCGCAGCTGGACTACTTCAAAACGTCTTCGGGGCGGGATCAGGCTCGCGTGATCTTGACAGAGAATAATGGGATTGTGTCCGGGGAAAGGTACGCGAACGCCATGGGCTTCTCCAAGGAAGGAATCGTTGCTGGTTGTTCCAAGCTGCTTAGCCTTTACCAGGACAACGATGATTAGAGGTTGAGGCTGATGGTGTTTAGAGGGAAATAACAAGGTTGATTGCCTCCGTTGAGTTTATTATATTATATTAGTTGGGGAGAGATCTAGATGGAGAATGGAGCCAAGTTGCGGTAAGGGAATTCTCGTCGTCGCAGGAGCTCGAAATCATGGCGTCGGCGGAACTGGAAAATTAGGGAGCAGATCTGGTCAATAACCTTCTGATCAATAACCATGCATAACCCAATCACCATCCGCCACATCAGCGCTCCTTTTCTCTCCTGAAAAGCCTTTAATTTTCGCCCCTTAATCTTTAACGGACGATTTCTTACTCATTTTAAGTCGAAATTTAATTTTTTTACACAGTTAGATCATATTAATTGTGCTCTTCAAAATGATATCTACTTTGATATATTTTTGGAACAAAAAAAAATTGAGCCATTTTTTACTAGTCTATACCATATGGTATTGGCTAGTATTGAAATAAGAGCATACAAATGGTTTGAAAAGCGTATCATGGTGGTATGAACAAACCAAGACTGTAGGATGGTTGAATACATGATAGTAGAAGTATATTAACTGTCATTTACGACTTTTAACATTGTGTACCACAAGATACCACCCTTTACCAGGGTGGTATTGTGTGGTATTTTTTGGTCCTGTATTTTGTTCACCTAGAAATTTGTAGATCCAATAGATAATGATGAACTCGTTCCTTCTGTTCAAAAAATTTCAAAAACGAATAAAAAACGAAGAAGATACCATATGGTACGCAGTTGGTACCAAGAGGCAAGAATGTTTTTCCCCAAAACATATTGAAAATGGATCTCGTTTTGTAGAGCATAATGAACTCGATCCATCTGTGCAAAAAATATTGAAATCCGAGTTAAAACGAAGACGATATGAGCCAATTAATAAAAAAAGGGAATTAGAGTAAATTTATCTTAATTAGGGCGATGAATAATGAATTTTAGGGCGACGAATAGCAATGTCATAACCTCTGGGTGCTTAACATGAGTAACCAAATATGGACCCAAATTCGTTGTTGATAACGATGTAATTGCACCCCTAATTCTTATCCGTTTGAGAGGTATAGTCGTGTATTTTGGCCTATTTTACGTCGGGTTGTGCTATTTTGTCATATTTCAGGTCCCAGGCGTCAAAGGAAAGGCTAAGCACGAGTTTCGGGGCATTCGGAAGTCATTTCGTCGAGCTGGAGCCAAAACACGGGCAGACCCAAAACAGAACACGGCCGTGTTCTGTGGCCGTGCTTTTACTGCCGAGAGCAAATTCGAGTTTGGAAAATATTGGCTAAAAACACGGGCTGAAAGCACGGCTGTGTCAACCAAAGCACGGCCGTGTCCTCTCCAAAACACGCCCGTGTTTCCCTCATTGCACTGGCCGTGTAATTAACCCTAGCCAAAGCACGGGCGGGCTGAGGCATTACACGGCCGTGCCCTCGACCGTGCTTTGGCCACTGATGCCCTTTTTAAGCAGATTTTCAGCCAAAGAGAAGGGGATTCGAGTTTTGAGAGAGATAGATCGATTCCTAGAGAGAGAAAGCGACGAACAAGAGTCTCCAAGTGCCCTAGCTTGATCTTCATCACCATTGGAGGCCAGTTCGAGCTTGGAGAAGTGCCGATCAACGTCCAGAAGCAGGAATCCATCCTTCACAGTATGAATTCCGCGTCTGATTCTGCTTTTGCTTCTTTCTCCATGGAGTAGTTCTCCCATTCATCTGGGTATGGAGAACCCTAGATTTGTATGTTAGGCTTTGATTGTATGAACCCAAGTATTGATTCTATGATTTGATTATGTTCAATTGAGGTTTGAATGATTGAATGACTTGAATCCTGATCAAATTCCTGTTGTTTTTGCTTTAACCTAGAATGAGAATATCTGCCTAGGTTGATAGAGCATCCTTGATTGAAGGTAGGGAGTTGGTGACTTTAGTCGAGGAGCCAACTCACTATTCTGTACCGGATTCACTCCGGTAGTGGAGGTTTTGTTTGTTAAGGCCTCAATCTGTTTACTCCGGTGGAGGTTAGTCGCCCGCTAGAGACTCAAATTGAGAGGGTCTGAAGACCTTTAGTCGAGACTTCAGGCTGTTTAAGAACCTTCCGCAGTATAACTATCATAGAAACTGAAATTGGTAATTACAATCCGGCTTAACTGCAGTCTAGGGGGAACCATATCCGGGTGACCTCTCTTAACCTGAATACAACAGTTTACTTGCTTTGTTAGTTTGTTAGTTTAGACTTGCATTCCAGTTTCATTGCTAGATAACAAGAATTCACTGAGTAGTCATCAAATCTAGGACCCGGGTTGACATTTAAACCCAAACCCGCTATACTACGCTTTAGGAAGTGGTTTCCCTTGGCCAATTCCTGGAGTGACAGTAGAAGTAAGTCAAGTTTTTGGCGTCGTTGCCGGGGACGGCTAGGTTGTTGAAGAAAAGTGATTTCTTTTAATTTAGCTTTTCTTTTTGCGTTGTTTGCTTTGTCCCACTTGTGCCTTCACGGGTTTGCTTGCTTGAGTGTGTGCAGGTAGTGCATGACCCGTAGCCAGTCAGGAGGTTTACTGCCGTTGAATCCAGAGATTGATCGCACCTGTCGCCAGCTCCGGAGACAACAGCGAGCTAGACTGGCTACGGAAGAGCGCATAGACGGCCACCTGAGTAGCGATTCTGAAGAAGAGTACGGGATGGACGGAGACTACAATCAACACCAGGGGAATCCGCAGCAGGTTCCCCCGGTGAATCAGGTCCTGGGGAACAACCCCATACCCCAGGATAATGGGGTTCATCATCCACCGTCGTCGGGTCCCACCTTGGAGTACTACTACACTCCGCGGATTGCTGACACCCGCCCGGTCATCCTCTACCCGCCTATTCCAGCAAACAACTTCGAGATCAAGCCATGCTGGATTCAGCTCATCACATCATCTATCCAGTTCCATGGCTTGAAGGATGAGGAGGCCAGGGTGCATCTTTCCCGTTTTCTGCAGCTGACGAACGGGTTTAAGCTGAATGGTGTCCCTGATGATGCAATCCGCCTTCATCTCTTCCCCCATTCTCTGGCGGGGAATGCTAAGAGGTGGTTGGAGACCCAGCCCCCATTGTCCATCACCTCTTGGGACGATCTGGCTGACAAATTCGTGCACAGGTACTATCCGACATCGAAGACTACCGAGATACAGCGGGAGATCACTCACTTTCGCCAAGAGCCAGATGAGTCACTTCGTGATGCATGGGAGCGGTACATGGGATATTTCTGGCAGTGTCCCGATCATGGCTTTAGTGATGCATTCACAGTGGGGAACTTCTACAGTGCTCTCTCTCCAGACAGCCAGATGGTGATTGAGTCTCTATGCCCAGGAGGGGATGTTCTTACTAAGACTCCACCAGAACTGAACCAGATGATTAATACTTTGGCTGCCAGAGATCATTCCTGGGGACAGAGCAGCAGAGGTAGACATTCCCGGGACCGTGGTGTGCATGCCATGGAGACCAGATCCGGGCTCGAGCAGCAGGTAGCTGAGCTAGTGCAGACATTGAAGCAGCCCAACAGTCTTATTCCGGGCAGAGGTTTGGCTACACCTCCAGTTGCTCAATGTCAGTGGTGTGAGAGCTCGAATCACTTAGTGGAAGACTGCCAGGCTATGAGGCAGTCTACTACTCCCCAAGAGCAGTTGGACTTCATCGCCAATGCTCGGCGCCTCGACCCGTACAGCAACACCTATAATGAGGGGTGGCGCCAGCATCCCAACTTCTCTTGGGGCAGCAACACCACTAAGCCACCTGGTTTCCCAGCACCAGCTGGTGGCTTTCAGCAGAGGCAGCCCTTCCAGGCTCGACAGGGGCCAGTCCCACAGCAGCAGCCCTACCAGCCTAGGCAGGGGCAACCATTCGAGCAGCCCTAGCGCCAGTTCGCCGAGCCAGCAGCAGCTCCGGCTCCAGATACTCAGATGACGAAGCTGGAAAATATTCTAGCTTCATTCATGACTAGCACTCAGACATCTATCACGTCACTGGAGGCAGGTCAGAGGAACCAGGGTGTCATCTTGCAAGATCTGCAGAACCAGGTGGGTATCTTGGCCCGCCAGAACACCACCAGGGCACCGGGGACTTTGCCTGCCACCACTGTTCCGAATCCTCGTGATCCTAACCAGCTCCAGCACCTTGATGCCATCACTACCAGGAGTGGCAAGACCACATCAGCTGCTCCTGCCCAGCCCAGTCGAGATGAGCCACTACCTGCTTCAACACTTCCAGCTGATACTGCAGAAGTGGGGGAAGACACAACAACGCCTGCTCCCAAGCCACAGCCAGTGGTTAAGGAGCATGTACCTCAACTTCCTTTCCCCACTCGCCTGCATAAAGACAAGCTGGAGACTGAGTTTGCCAAGTTCATGGCAATGTTGAAGCAGGTCAACATCAGCATGCCGTTCGTGGAGGCACTGTCAAAGATGCCCAAGTATGCCAAGTTCATGAAGGACCTCCTCACCAACAAGAAGAAACTTGGGGATCTTTCGATAGTGATGCTGAGCGAGGAGTGTTCTGCTATCCTGCAGAAC